TTCTTGGCCTGGGACTAGTTTTTAGTTTTGTAGATTTACATACTGAACATTCCAGATAATTTTCACAATTCTTTATTTTAACACCTTCTGCGTGTTCAGTCATTTTTTGCACTACAGGAAAACTGGCATGTCCTAACTTCCTATGCAATATGTGAGCACACTCATCATGAATTGGTTTACCTATCTTTGGTTTCTTATCGTTGTGTGCATCTGTGTGATCATGAGATATTTTACATTCATCATTGTCACTGTTGCTAACATTCTCATCATCTATTTCAATACAATCTTCCATATTTGAATCAATGTTATGTAACCATTTTTCTTTTGTTATTAGGTAAGGTAGTCCTCCTTTAGTCACCACAGTGCCTACATTTATTTTATTCTTTTCCAAAGTTGCCTTTCCTTTTGAAAAAACAATGTTAATGTCAGAATCTCTGCTTAGTTTTATGGCACTTAATATGTTATGAGGTATTTCAGGTATTAGTAATACCCCCTCTATTTTTCCTAAACCAGGCAAGGTTACATTTCCTCTACCTAATACTTGAACCTTTTCTTGGTTAGCAACCTTAATTACAAATTTATCTTCTGTAAATGAAGACAATATACTTTTGTTATTAGTGGTGTGATTAGTTGCTCCAGAATCAATAAGCCAATTATTGTTCTCACTTTGTTGTGTGTTAGTGTTGTCTTGTTTATTAATCCATTCAGTGAACCAGACTTTCTATCCTTTGAATTGTCTCTGCCCCCTCTATTCTCTCTGTGATTTGGTGGGCTCCTATATCTATGCCTTTCTATGGAAGGCTGTCTATAATCGTGTTTGTTTCTGTATTCTGATCTATATCTTTCTTTTAAGACTTTTGGGCAATCTCTTCTATTGTGTTCCTGGATCCACAATTATGACATTTAAATGTTCCACTATATTTTTCTTGAAAAGCTACTTTCCTATATGGTTTATGTTCTGTGTGATTGTTAGAACGATTCCTTCTAGAATTATCTTCTGTTATCAATTTGTTAGATAGACTTTCTATGGATAAATACCCTAGATTGATTGTGTCTAAATGTGACATGAAATTGTCCCATGATGGGTCAAGTGAGTTGATAATGACACTTTTCATTGTTTGGTCTGAAATCACTTCCCCCCTTAAATGCAGTTCAGCTCTTATTTTGTTCAAAGATATTAAATGTTCACTTATGGAAACCCCTGGTTTTATCCTAGATGAAAAGAAGTCTTTAGATATCCTTGTGGTGGTGGCTACACTGTCACTGTGAAACAAATTAAACATGCATTGAATAATTTCTGAAACAGTCAAATTTGGCTTAATGCTGTGATACATTGCAGGAGACACACTAGATATTATTAAGAAAAAAGCTCTATGGTGTAAGCAATCTATTTTTAGTGTCCAAGGTCTTTTTGGGGGACTAGTGATAAAAAACAGTAAGTTTTCCTTCATAAAGACAACCTGGAGCTGTTGATACCATTCTTGTAAATTAATGCCATCAACCCTTAGTTTTGGGAAGTCACTGGGTAAATTTCCGACATTATTGGGTCCATTACTTACAACCTGAGGTAGTCCGTGGTCTCGTAAATGCAGAAAATTGCAAAACGGCATGGGGATGCTCGCTACGAGTCTGCATGATCTTCTCTCCTGTTCATGTCTTCCCGGATCGTCAGCGTAGTTTCGCGCATGCGCGTTGTCCATTTCTTCTTCGGCGTCGTCGTGGAAGGTTCTCTTCATTGCGGCCCGCTCGTTCTGCTCCTCTTCAGATGAGTCGGTCTCTGGTTCGACTTTGGGCGTTCTGGCGACGGTGGCTGTTCTTCTTCTTCTATTGAAAGCGTTGGTGCTTGCTTCGGTCTGCGGCGTAGGGCGGTATCGGCAGGGCTCTCTGGGTTCCGGCGTCAGCGCTCTAGTAGTCAGGATGGGAGCGGGCAGGTCTTGAGGCATTGGCTTGCTCGTTCGCTTTTTTAGTGTCTTTTTAGTAATTTTCAGTTTTGGCCCAAATGCAGCAAAGAGCGTTTTCATCGCTGATTTTATTTGGTGTTTTGTTGGATCTTCCTCGCTTTCTGGTTCTGATTCTTCTGAGGTGTTTGAATCTTCCTTTTCGTTTTCGTTGTCCGGTAATATTTTTCGCGCCAGAAATTTTGAATCGAGATTGCTGATTGGCTCTTCTTCGTTCATCTTGGAGGCCGGTTGAAACCAAGATGGCTGCCATTCAAATTTTTGCGCGGGATCATCGTTTTTCTTCTTTGTAATGATTTTCTCCGCAGTCATATTACTCACTATTTTCGGCTCTTTGGGTTTTTCATTGGTGATGTTTTTCTCTCTCGCTGCTCCGCTGTTCTTTAGCATATCTTGGAGGTTCGCGATGAGGCTTTCATCATTCTTCTGGCTTTTTAATAGTTTTAATATCTCTGACCTGAGTTCGTTATTTTCTATTTCGATTTCCTCTGGTCATCAATTATTTCTTCGTCTTCAGTGGTGTATTCTTCGGATTCTCTCGAAATTGCATTCGTGGATTCGTTGATTATTTCTTGTTCCGTTTCCATTTCTTTGCTGTAGGCCCTGGTGTTGGGCCTATCTTTCTTAGACATTTTAAGGCTTTTTATTGAGTCAATTAACCATCCTCTGCTACCAGTTTGTTGCAATATTTTCAGGATCAGACTCAATAAGATCAACAAGAGTTAAAGATTTAACTATATATTCTTTTATTTACATTAGGCATTCTATATTCACTGAATATTCACAGATAGAAGCAGGGGAAATGGTGTAGGTAGCTCCTTATATATACAATGGGTGGAGCTATATGTGGGAGTGGTGAATTATGAATACATTAAGAAGTGAAGAATAAATTAACCCCTGATACCCTGTCCTGTACACTATTTACATATTGGAGAATAAGGCATTTATATCTGACAATGACGATGATCCCTTCTGTACAACTATTATCCCTCCATCTACAGGCAAAAGCCACATTTTAAATACCATCTCCTACAGCATGAGATTATCCTGTCTTCTGTTAGTTCAATAGCAATCCTTTTCCTTTATCTAACTCATTTTGCTGTTTTGGTCAAAATTACTGTGTTATTTGGATTGGACCACTTTTGACTTCAAATGAAGACAGCAAGCACATTTGCTTATGAATTCAGCAGGTCTGTTGCCACATTGCAGATTTTGCTCAAAAAAATAATCTTAATTGCCTTTCATCTGAATTTCAGATTTACTTGGATTCATTAAATTTATACTGAACTTGTGTACCATTTGATTAGAAAAAGGTAAGGCAACATAATCCCATCTATATCAATGATACTGTTTTGATCCTTGCTGGGTTCCCTGACTCACTTTGCTAAAATTATTTTAATTAATAAAAATAACTTGGCATGCTTTGAGAAAAAAAAAACCCATTATTTTTAAGAAAACATTAAAGGCATATCGAGGCTGTATAGGGAGGCTTACTTTATTTATAAGCCATAAATTGGAACAAAGACAGAAACGAAAGAGGAGCAAGGTGTTCAAAGATAATGAATTTGCACTTCCCTTTGTAAATCTGCATCACCCTCCTTGTTTTGGGATGCTTTTTGTAAGCTATCTAGGATGCCCCAGAACTGTAGAATGAAACAGGAAAGTAAACCTATATTAAATTTCACTTAGAACTTTTTGTATTTCTTTAATAATATCCAGTGATTTGTCTGGATTTTTGCAGCCAATCCTGGAAGGTTGTATGAATGGTGGGAATCCATCTTATTAGTTTGCCTTCCAGGATTGGTGGGCATGGCATGGCTTGGTGGCTGTGGCTTGGTGGGAGTGGCAGGAGAAGGATACTGTAAAATCTCCATTCCTTCTCCAATCCAGGGGAAGGTTACTGCAAAATCCTCATTTCCAGCTGGGACTTGGGAGGCAGAGAATAGATGGGGGCGGGGCCACTCAGAATTTTTACTACCGGTTCTCTGAACTACTCAAAATTTCTGCTACCAGTTCTCCAGAACTGGTCAGAACCTGCTGAAACCCACCTCTGATTCCCACCCCACTCCAGGAGAAGGATACTGCAAAATCCCCATTCCCTCCTGATCAACTGGGACTCGGGAGGCAGAGAATAGATGGGGGCAGAGGCAGGGCCAGTCAGAGGTGATATTTATCAGTTCTCCGAACTACTCAAAATTTCCACTACTGGTTCTCCAGAACTGTTCAGAACCTGCTGAATACCACCTCTGCGTGGTAACCATTTTGTGAACAGGATAATCCTTATCCTCAATTGCAGTTTTCTGCCTGAGAATGGATGACATGCTGTGAAGATTAGTCTCAAAGTTGCTTACTAACTTAGCAAGACTTTGTCTTGAGCATGCTTGATAACGTTCAGAGAAATATCTTAGGGAATAGAGAGAAATGCTACTACTCTGGCACTCTTAATAGATGTTCAAGTCCTGCCAGTTATTGGAAATTGCTGGCAGAGATCTTAACTATCAAAAGTATATCTTGCCTTAATAGCTCATACCCCAGCTACCTTAAAATTAAACTATTGCGTTGTTGCTCATTAAGGACTTATTCTTGACAAGCATCTGGAAATAGAAATTGGAAGGGAGTAAAGGCATTAGATTGCTATTGGAGCTTGGCATTTTGATCGTGTTTTTTTCTTTTAATTAAAACATACCGGATGCATTTTAACTGTGGGCTGACTTCAATTCAACATTCTGCTGTCGATTTTTCAAAAAGCTTTTCCCAACCTGGATACCCCATGGAGTAATATCAATTATTATAAAGCCTGCATAATTGAGGGGGACACAGGTTTGGGAGATTGTTTAAAGCAGGGGTCTCCAACCTTGGCAACTTTAAGACTTGTGGACGTCAACTCCCGGAGTTCAAGTCCACAAGTCTTAAAGTTGCCAAGGTTGGAGACCCCTGGTTTAAAGCCATATTCATTTATGGGACTTGGCTGCTTCAAAACATCAGGTTCTTCTACCTGATTCTTCTAGAATCTAGATGTTTAGATTCTAGAATCTACCTGTTCTTTCTCATGTGTTTTCAACATCTAATAAGTCAGTATTTCAACTCTTTAGGCCTGATCAAGCTGGACAGTCAGGTGCAGGTGATTTGTGAAATAATACCTACTTTGGGGAACATTGTGCCAACTGAGATTTGTCAAGCTCCATCAGTATATTGTTTGACCTGGCATGTAAACCATGGCTTTTATAAATTTAATTCCAAGCTGGTTATTAACCTTCTCTCAGGCCTATTTCTGATGAGAACATATAAAAAGAAATCTTTCATCCAGTACACCTGAACATCAGTAGATTCAATGTGGTGATGGACGCTCCCTTGAGTCATTTTTTAAAAAGAGATGAAACAAATTCACAGAAAAGCTCTGACACCTTAGTCACAACTATTAAATGGAAATGAAATGAAATATCATATTCCAGAAGTGTCTACTTGCCTTCTGTTGAAAGAGAAAAAAAATATATCAGAAGATGGATTCTTACTCCAGACCAGAGAGCTGTTGTGATCTTAGCCTTGGTCTTTGGCATAACATGGTTCTGTCATTTAATATTCATCTATATTAAACCATACAGGTAGTCCTTGATTTATGACCACAATTGAGCCCAAAGTCTCTCTTGTTAAATGAGATATTTGTTAAGTAGGTTTTGCCCCATTTTATGACTTTCCTTGCCACATCTTGTTGTTAAATGAATCACTGGTGTTAAGTTAGTAACACTGTTAAGTGAATCTGGCTTCCCCTTGACTTATCAGAAGGTTGCAAAAAGTGATCATAAGTGTCCCCCAGGACACTGCAACTGTCATAAATATGAGTCCGTTGCCAAGTAGCTGAATTTTGATTATGTGACCATGGGGGTACTGCAAACATTATGTGAAAAATGGTCATAAGTCACCAGTGCCATTGTAACTATGAACAGTCACTAAATGAATTGTTATAAGTCGAGAATGAGGTGTATTGTATCATTTTACTCACCCCCTCTCTCAGGTTTCTCTTAGTCCCTGTTAATCCATTTCACTTTTTTCACTGCAAAACCCCATTGATTCATCTTAATCCTCTGCTCCCCTCTTCCTCCTCCTTCTCCTCCTCCATAACCATGCACATTAAAACCTCATCCATCATTGTTTTGTCTCCAGCTTTTTAATCAGGCCTGTGTGCATATTGGTTTGAGCATGTGGCAGTTTAATTACCCTCTTGAATACACGAAACACATCTTTGTCATATCTGCTTATATCTGAAGAGAGCGCCTTGCTATAATGCTAATTAAAGTGGGATGATGACAATTTCTCTCCATACTCAAATTATACCCCATCTGTCTTGTCCCGTGTTCACTCTTTGGATTAATCGAGGGTTGGGAAAGGTTGTTTCCTTGGAGTTTTACCTAATGCAGGTGGGAAGATTTAGTTTTAATGAAGTTGCAGGTAAAAGAGGAGGAGGAGGAATAAAAATCACGTCTGCCAAGTTAAAGGAAAATTTTAAAAGCTTTCTTCTTATTTTTTTTTCTAATCTGTCTGGCTATCCATCTCTGCACTGATTTCATGGGTCATAGTTTCTGAAAGCAACATAAAACAGCAGGCAATTCTTTTTCCACTGCTTACATCCTTTGTAATGAAGCAGCAAGCACTTACAAGCTATCGGGGACCTATTTATCATAAACAAAGCATCTCCAGAACGTTGGCTTTTAGGCACTTACAGGACAAGCCAGTGCCTGAACCAATACAGAAAAGTTTTTAAAGAAGAGGAAAAGAAAACCTGACATTCTTTTTAATGGACCAGACCTCCCTTTCCCTTATTTTTGTTTTAGATCCAGTGATCCACTTGGAAGAGAGGATGTTCCTTTATTTGGCATCTTTCCAATGTTATATCACTTGTTCCATTGAGGCTGGAGCTACCTGAGCGACCACACTTACCTGATCCTCTGGGAGATATTTTGCTTCCAGAGGTGGCAGCTCTTGACTGAGCTTATCTGTAGCAGAAGCTAAACAGGACTTATTTTGGTTAGTACTGCCAGGAAATTTTAGAAATTCTAGGCTAGACAGGGAAACAGTTTAAATTAAAGGAGACATTACCATACAGATTAAACTGCTTAAAGATACTTAGTTTATTTGTAATGATCTATGTCGGCAACAAATTGAATGGAAAGCTTTATTTTATCTATAAATAAAACTTTATCTCTACTTTTGGGGATGGTTTATCTGGAAGTATTTCTGAAAGTCCCTTGAATGGTGAAAGGTGACATACAGTAAGAAATCTTTTAGATCAGTTCTTTGCAGTAAACCAGTCTTGTTATAAATGGTTTTAGAGCTCTAGCGTGAAACATCCTTGTGGTTTCTAAACAAAGTTTATGGCTCAGTGTGATATATGAACCCAGCTGGCAGGACTTATATAACAAAGCATTAAACAGTAGCTTAGTGTGATAATGTGAAAGCCAACAGTTAAGTATTTCTCAAACCTGACAACTTTAAGATATGTAGGCTTCAACTCCCAGAATTCACTCATATGCCTTAAAGTTGCCAACTCTGAGAAACACTACAACAGTTGCTTATTCAGCAGACCATGTTATATAATGATGCCCAGCACAATTTGACCTAGAAGACAATCTATTATGAATAGTATGATATTTTAGAATTTCACAATAAAATGTTTGATTCAAACCCAACCCAATCTAAATCTTAAGCCAATCTTAAGGATAATATTAGGAACTTTAACTGGATTTCTGCTCTTGAAACATGTTGTCATTACTAGTACAATAAGGGTGCCAAAAGTGTGATTTAGGGATTCCATGTAGTTCACCAGTATCCATTGTGTGCCTTTTAGGAGCTCTAAAATGGGGATAGATCTATTAAAGAGATAGAAGTTACATTTTCTGAAGCTCGATCTTTTACGTATTGACTCAAAAATATGCTCCAATAAATTTAATGAGGAACATTAGGGTCATTTACTTGAGGGTAAATTATCTTTATTTGGTGGAGTTGACATATAAAGTATGGATGTAATAGTGCATTATAAAAAGCAACTAATATGTAAAGTTATTGTTATCATTCATGTAATAACGGTTAGTGGATAGTATGTTATGGTGATTTATCACCAAAACTGCTCTTTACTAGAAACATAACTACGTTTGAGGAAAATTGGTGCAAGGATATGGTGTATAATGGTTACCACTAGATTCCTTTTGTTTCCATTCACACAGAGCTTCATATGCAAATATAACTTCATGCTGTCATGCCTGGAAGCCATATTACCTGTGTGCCTTGAGGATCCAGGCCTGCCACAATCATACCGTGGGAAGTTGGGAGGGGGGATTGCATGAGTGAAGTAGAGATAGCCATAACAAACTTCTCTAAGAGAAGTTCAAGGCCATGGTGTCTGGCAGCTGTGCAAAGAAGAAATTTGAGGATGTCTTCTGTTCGGGAAAGAACTGATTGGAGCTGTGGTGGACATGTGGAAGATGTGAGCAAGGTCTTCAACTTTCTTTTGGGCGAGGAAAATCCAGAAGCTTTCAGATTCAGGTTTTCCCAGATGTGCCAATATGACATCCCTAATAAAAGTTAGCTTTGAGGAACTTCAAGCCTCGGAGTTTGATTTCATTGGAAATCAACCCTGATACATGCACCTAGAGAATACATTACCATTTATTTCCATACATTATGTCATATACACTTACTAGCGTAACTTCCCAAGGCATAGAATTTGTATATTGTTTTTACAACATAAAAATTCATAGTAGAAACAGAAATTTATAAATCCATATTTCAAATATTTCTTTCAACAATCATATATAATACTGTACTTGATAAAACAAGCCTAGGGTTCAAGTTATTGCACAGCTAAAAAAACGTGCATTTTCTGACTCAAAAGGATTATTCTTTGCCCCAGAAGTTATGCAAGAGGTCTTGGGGTACGATCTAAAAAACATTCATGTCTGTTTGATTGTTTGTAATGTTCACTTGGATGAAATGGCGCATCATGGGGCAACCATTTTTGAATCAATTACCTCAAATAGGTTAATTTATGGAATGTGTCCAAAATCCAGGACCCATGGCTCCCACGGGATTGCCATTTGAGAAAGTTGTGGCCATTTCAGTGCTACCACACTGCAATAGTCAGCCCCAGTCAGCTGCAGTCATGTGATCATCATTTCCAATGCCCCCCGCCAGCTTCCTAGAAAGAAAAGTCAATGGGGAAGTCAGCAGTAAGTCAGAAGTCATTCCCACTCCCACTGCTTTGTTTACTCACCCATGGTCATCCTGTTTCTCTCTTTAGACAAATATCCCTGACGTGATAAGAGAAACTAATAGATCTAAAATTGGTGTGATGGGAAACCCACTGACACCCCCGCAAATTAAAATAAAAAGTGGACTGAATTTGGCTAGAAGTTGCACGGAAAAAAATTCCCACAATGTCCCCCTAGAATTGTTGTAACTTAGTTTTTCAACTAAGGAAACTGGCATTTTTATTATGTGGGCATCTATTATAAACAAATGACAACAGAAATACATCATGCTGAATAAATTCATTCCAGAGGAAGAAGTACTGATTTAGACTCATCAACTGCTGGGCGACGATTTTGATTCCATGATTAGGGCAGAGGATAATGATTTTAAAATTTGCCCAAGGAAAAGCCGCTGACTGTTGAACTCACTGAGATGTATTTCTAGAATTGCAGTCATTTTTCACCAATGTTCTTCATAAGACAAGGCTTCATCTCTAGTTTTCACTTTATCATTTCTCCAAATTGAGCATTAATGAATACATTATTTTTCGTCAGCTGAACGTAATGAAGGGATGCTGGAAGATCACAGATTGCATAGCTGCCAGCTACCTAAGTACAGTCATAGTTTTGGGCAGCTGATTCAGCCTGTAAAAGGTTCTCTGAAAAAATGTTGGGCTTCTACTTTGATGCCATTTGGACATTGGACTGGTTGCAATAGTAGTTTCATAGCAGCAGGAGGAACAAGGAGAAGCACTCCTTCTTTAAGGAAATATAAGCAGTGATGCCCTGACTTCTTCCTTTGACTAAGGATGCCATCATTCAGTTTGATGTTGATGCCGGAACATAGAAACCAGTGGTGGGATTCAGCTGGTTCGGGCTGGTTCAGACGAACCGGTAGTTAAATTCAGTGGTGGGATTCAAGTAATTTAACAACCAGTTCTCTGCCCTAATGATTTCTTCCAACAACCAGTTTGCCAAATTGCTCAGAAAGTTAACAACCGGTTCTCCTGAAGTGGTGCGAACTGGCTAAATCCCACCACTGGTTAAATTGCTGGCTGTCTCCGCTCCTCCCCACCCCTTTCAGGAGTCCCCATGCACCCCATTTTGGCTCCCAGGTAAGTGCAGGGAGGCCTACTAGACCCAAAACGGGGTGCAGAGGGGTTCAGCACCCCCCTGGCCTGTTTTTGCTCTCAGGAGGCTTCAGGGAGGCCTCCTAGGCCCAAAATGGGTTGCGGGGGGGCGTGTCCCCCCACGGCCCATTTTTGCTCCCAGGGGGATGCAGGAGGCGGAATGCTGCCTTTCATACCCCCAGCCACGCCCATGGCCATGCCCACCCAGCCAGTCATTAGGGCAGCGAACCATTTGTTAAATTATTTGAATCCCACCACTGATAGAAACCAATGTAAATTGAAGAGAGGATGGGATAAGGGAATGGCCAATACTACAATATATTGTAGAGATGCTGGATGCAGTGATGTTTTCCAGGATATGATGCTGATTAGTAGTAGAGGAGTGAGGCCAAGGATTTTTGTTTTTAGACAGAAATTACTGCTTTGGACCCGGGCTTTTCTGATACAGAATAGTGTTTTTTATTCTCATAATATTGTTGTTGCTTATACCTAAACAAATTTAAGCAAAAACATCACAAAACACATTTCATGAATTTTTTACATGCCCACAAACATAATAAATGCTCCTTCTTGTTAGTTACATAACATAAGGTTGAAGAACTTTTTACACTTCTATAAAATGATGGTCATTGATTTTTCTGGTGACATGTCCCAACGATACATCATTTTATAAAAACTCTCTTTAAGTATCACATAGTATAAATTTCAGTCCTTTCAACCACATTCTCTCACTGATTCATGTATATATTATAACTGAATTTTTAAGCCCCTTTTGCATACATTCTTTCACTTGTTCCTCTTCTTTCATATTTCAATAAGAATATATACATTTTAGCAGTAACACGATCCTCACTTGTACATTAGTTCCATTTCAAATTGAGCCTTGCATTGTTCAAAACCAAAAGTTTTTATCTACTTTAAATCTTTCTAATAATTGTACATACAAAAACCATAAACAAGGAGTTTGAATTCTAAGTGTTGATTAGCTCTTAATATAATGACAAACAAAATATTTGGGATTTCTGCAGAGGCTCCCCCCCCCCACATTTGTTTTCAATTGCAGAAAGGCTCTTTGTGGCATTTTAGTGAAGTGACAGCTTCACTAAATTCGGTAGGCAGCATCTCTACCCATTACTTGGATATTTGTGGGATTTCAGCTTGTGGAAGATTTTTTCCTCCCACATTGTCAACCACTATTTCAGTCTACTTACAGATGCCTTGCTTTGGGGGGTCTTGGGAGAGAGAATCTGTGTGGCAGACAGTGGGAACATAAATGAACAAACAAGCCATATTAGGCTGGAAGCTTCAATGCTGCCATTGACAGTGTGTTGAATGGTTTCAATAGCTCATTAAAACAAGCAAATGAACTCCCATTTATTTGAACTTTTGAAAAATGCTTTACTGGCTGATAAGAGAAATGAGGTCTAAATTCAAAAACAATACATGAGGCAGGTCAACCTTGCATGTCTAGTAGAAAGTAGATCTTCCTTGGTTCGTTGTTCCAAGGTAGTAACCAGTGGTGGGTTTCAAATTTTTTTACTACCGGTTCTGTGGGCGTGGCTTGGTAGGCATGGCTTGGTGGGCGTGGCAGGGGAAGGATACTGTAAAATCTCCATTCCTTCCCCAATCCATGGGAAGGTTACCGCAAAATCCCCATTTCCTCCCGATCAACTGGGACTTGGGAGGCAGAGAATAGATGGGGGTGGGGCCAGTCAGAAATTTTACTACCGGTTCTTTGAACTACTCAAAATTTCCGCTACCGGTTCCCCAGAACTGGTCAGAACCTGCTGAAATCCACCTCTGGTAGTAACACTTCCTAAGGGATTTGGGTGAATATATTTTTATAAAAGCAGCGTATTGGATTAGAAATTCAGAACAAATGAAATTGTTTCCATCTGATAAACAGGTATTATGAAAACCCTGCAACCGTCTTCTGCACTTCCGTTAAAAAAGAAAGACATATTGTTGGCACCTCAGAAAGGACTTTAGTGGAATGTGCACACTATGGTGAGGTGTACGATTACCTATTTTTCGCCTTACCTCTTTAGCACATAATATTATCAGGTTATTAAGCTTCATTCGGTATTCCAAAGGGCGAAAAAGCCTATTGTATTCCAAAGGCATCAGAGTCAGAAACCTAAAAAACAAACTCAACTCAACTGACATCGATAATGAACATTTATTTGAACATTTGAAAAATGTTTTACTGGTGAATAGTAAGATGTGATGAATTGAGTCATTTAAAAATATTAAATATGAGAGGCGGATGATTGTTCTTTAGATAGTGCTATTTATGTGATGGCTTCTTCACACATTTAAGTGAGTCACTGGAAATTGTACTCTCTATATTCAACTACTCCATTCTTTACATTTTTTAAAAAAAGGAACTGCCAGAAGCATAATACACTGTATGCATGTATACGTCAATAACTTCATAAGGTCTTAAATTCATGCAGCAAGGAAGAATTGCCAGCAGTTGGCAGCATCCACATTTGATTAATAATAATAAAGTTGATAGCTATGTCAGTGGAGGCAGTTTTGATTCTTACTCATACCAGTGTTAGATAGAGACTTTAGTTCAGTGGTGAAATCCAAATTTTTTTACTACTGGTTCTGTGGGCGTGGCTAGGTGGGTATGGTGTGGCTAGGTGGGCGTGGCTTGGTAGGCATGGCAGGGAAAGGGTACTGCAAAATCTCTATTCCCACCCCACTCCAGGAGAAGGATACTGCAAAATCTCCATTCCCACCCCACTCTGGGGCCAGCCAGAGGTGCTATTTGCTGGTTCTCTGAACTACTCAAAATTTCCACTACCAGTTCTCCAGAACCTGTCAGAACCTTCTGGATTTCACCCCTGCTTTAGTTGTGTAATGTTGCCTATCATGGTCAGTTGTGCAAGGGGACATATTAATTAGAAGGATAGGGCAGTGCTGCTCATTTAATAAATAGCAATAGCACTTAAGACTTATATATCACTCCATAGTGATTTACAGCCCTCTGTAAGTGGTTCCCCGAGTCCGCATATTGCCCCCAACAATTTATATCCTCATTTTACCAACCTTGGAAGGATGGAAGGCTGAGTCAATGTTGAACCTCTCGGGATTGAACTCCAGGCAGTAGCCAGAGTTAGTTTACTATAGTCTGCAATATTGCATTCTAACCACTGTGTTACCAAGGCTCATGCTGGTGCAAATACCATACAGTAGACACCATATACAGGT